TTCCCGTTTCGCAAAGGAACAAATTTTGAATGGAAATAATTGATGAGAAAATTTCTGAAGTAATTTTTCAGAGTAATTTTTCTGAGTCATTTGACTTCTTCTGAAGTTGCGTCTTCATGCTTTGGTTTTTGAATTTTCCAAATTTAAAAAACTAGCCCGGTTACGAAAAAAAATAATTTGAAGGGGAATAATTGCTGACAAAATTCCAGAACGAAGTTTTTAAAATTCAGTTGTCAAAATTCGGTTTTTTAATTGACAAATTTGAAACCGGTATCACCGTCCCGGAAAGAAAGAAATTTTGAACAGAAATAATTGGTGACAAAATTTCGAAACTTATGCTCACGTGTTGCTTGACCCCTCCTCGAGGCCTCTCTTCAAGGGTGGGTTTATGAATTTTGCCAATTGACAGCGCTATACCCGTTATGAAAGGAAAAAAGTTCGAAGGGAAATAATTGCTCTTAAAATTTCGAAACTAATTTTTCAGAGTAATTTTTCGAAGTCATTTGTTCCCTTCTGAAGTTGCGTCTTCAAGTTTGAATTTTTGAATTTTCTCAATTAAAATCGTTATTTCGGTTACGAAAAAAAATAATAATTTGAAGGGGAATAATGGCTGATAATATTCCAAAACTTAGTTTTACGAATAATTTGATACCTCCTGAAGTGGCGTAGCCAAAATTGGTTTTTGAATTGTGAAAGTTGAAAGCGTCTATGCCTACTCCAAAAATGAACAATTTTAGAAAAGAAATAGTTGATAACCAAGTTTCGAAAATTATTTTCCCGAGTAGTTCAATCCCTTCTCAAGTCGTGGCGTCAAAATTCGAATTTTTAATTGACAACATTGCAAGCGGTATCCCCGTCCCGGAAAGAAAACAATTTTGAAGGGAAATAATCGGTGACAAAATTGCGAAACTTGTGTGTTTCCGAGTAACTTGACCCCTCCTTTATCGGTGTCTTCAGGATTGGGTTTTTGACTTTTCAAAATTGAAAGCGCTGTCCCCGTTCCAAAAATAATCAAATTTTAGAAGGACATAATTCCTAACTCCTGCCTTAATTAAAATGAAGGGATGAAATCAAGGACGATCGATGGAGAATTAAATTCACTATCAATTGAGACCGATTTTATTATCCATCAGACTTTTTTTTCCTCTATTAGAAACGCGGTGAAAATGGCAATGCTGAGAATCGTCGAAATTTCACTCTTCAATGTCTTTCACTCAAAAATGAATATCTTTTCCTCTAATTAAAATTAAGGGATGGAATCAGATGCGATCAATGTGAGATTAAATTCCCCATGGATTGTATCAATTTCATCTCTGAAGGAGATATTGCCGTCTTCCCTCTACTATTCACGTTTTTTGCCGATTTCTCGCAAACTGTTGATCAGATTGACGGGAGCAAATATAGCGTTTTTGAGTTTTAACGTTATTAAATAACTCACGAAGTTTCATCGCTGTGCAACAACTTGTGTGCGTTTTTTCTTAACTTTTTCCAAAATTCATAAAACTTTAGACAAAATGTATAAAAATAGTCGCATGAAGGTGAGACTTTGTGAGCCATTAAATAACATTAAAACTCAAAAACGCTACTTTCTTTCCCGTCAACCTGGTTAACACTCTACGAGGAATCGGCCGAAAATATGAAAAGTGGTGGGGAGACAGTAATACTTCCTTAATCTGGATTGAAAAAATTGTAATTTAATTTGAGTAATTAATTGTTAATTTCATATTTCCTCATAAAAGGACATAGTATTGTGTCGCATTAATAAATATTTACAGTATTTTTCAATATTTCTTAACTAACGAAGACCATTGGTGAATTCATTGGCTAATTCATAAGATCGTTCACGTTTCAATAATAAAGCAGATAATAATTCATAATTCAATACTTTTATTTGTGTCCAAATGTTTTTTATTCTCAGTTCTCCATCAATTTCCATACAACTTTAAACGTCTCTTAACACCTAATTCATAACCCCTCCTTCTATTTTGATGAAATTATAATAGTATGGTGAAATATATTGAAATATTAACACTAGTTGCCACCGCTCAGAAATGAACGAAGCCCATTAATATATAATGTGGACGTGATGCTGCAATGATGAAGAAACTTCTAACTGATTCTAAGAGCATGCTGTTGGACACAGAACTATCCGCAGACGAAGAATTAGTTATCCTATTTACGACAGCTGTATTATCGAAGGGATTCAGACTTCCCTTTAAACAGAACGTAGATAGAATGCATATAATGCAGGAGGTTTCAAACAAGCACGAGGGCGAGATGTGAAATCTCATGGGTCGCTTCGAAGCATGCAGTGACGGCTTTGTGTCTCAGACCTGCATTTGGCTCGGGAAGAAAAAGATTACCGCTTATGGCCCATGGGTCTGGAGTCTAAGAGGCTCCTGTCGATCCAACATGCGTCACCATTTTGAGTAGCCTGAGAGAATCGCTCCCGACGGAACGCGGCAATTGATGGCTGTGAGTACGCGGGATCGTGAGGGGAATGTGAAAATATTCACCTCGGCCGAATTAGCGTCCCAGGTTCTGAGGGATTCCGACAGAGTCGCAGACTAGTATGACCTTGCCCTGGGTCGAAATAACAGAGGACAGGAGGACCACCTCCGGGTAGCCGTAAAGGGCCATTAATTTTTTTTCCTAAATTTTTTGTGTTTTTTTTCGCCTTTAAGATGATCTGCATATTTCAAATAGTTGAATGAAATGTAATCATGATCGGAACTTTGTCAAATTACGATTTAAAAAAATGAAAAAAAAAAAGCATCCATTCATTGATTTCACATCATCAGTCGAATCTAAGGCTTTAATGCTTAGCCAAATCTTGAATGGCTTTATTGCCTTTTTATAATCATACAATTCTCTGCCAATTGATTTGCATTTTTTCATCTTATACTTCTATCGAGGTTAGTATTCTTTACGTTAATTATCAGAATCATCCCCATGTTCGGGATTGACTTCCTTGGATTTCATAAAATGCCACGGACTATGATGAGTATGCCAATATCTCTGGAGGGGTGCTTCCGATCCAAAAGTGGAAAAGGACTTTTGCGCTGAGACTCAGACCCTGTACATGCCGGTTCAGTATCAGCACGTAATTCTGAGACACCCTGTATAGAGGGAGGTCCTACGACTCTCCTTCTGTCGCATATGAAGACCATCTTAATCTTACATGCGTTTACTGAAAGACCATGAGAGTAGCAGCAATACTGAACATGGTCCCGCGCCTTTTGTAATTTGCGGAATATGAGCCTTCATTCCTGCTCTAAAGCTCAATGAGGGGCTCATTCAGGATAAGTAGCCACAGCGGGAGTCAGAAAGCCCTCTTTCCTACCCTATTACAGGCAGCTCCGCCCCGCTAGCGCCTTGACCTTATTGTGCGCGAAAGAGGAGTATACCACTCGTTTCCGAAGCATGACGGTTATCCATTTGATCATGAATACTTCGATCTCGAAGACTGATGCTGTCTCCTCCATCATGTGAAAGAAAGTATCATTAAAAACCCCATCTATGTCCATAAAAATCCCGACATTGTCCTCTTTTCGCTCATTTGCTCCTTCTCTTGTGTCCCCTGATTCACAATAATTGAATAGAAAAAGATGATCATGTATAATTGTTATGACATGTATATTTGAAAGCCATATTTTTTGCAGTGCAATAACCGTACATGTCGTATCCATAAAGTTATTTCCTGATGAAGATATTCACAATAAAATCGCTGTTTTAAAAATGTTGTAAGGTACAGTTTTCACGGTTGAGTTAGCGGTTGATAGAGTTGGTTACTGCCGTGACTACTGCTCTGATAGGACCATCAAATTTGAGAATCTGTCAACTGGTAAGGCCTCTTCGTCGAAATATGAAAACTAGTTTTCTTTCGGTACTCATTTCATTTGATGAACCTGTAAAACGTGCTGACGCCGTAGTAGGGTTGGGCTTGATATTTTCATTTGCGAGTAGACTTATAAGTGGTTTGATTGCCGCGCTTTCCGAGAAATCCCGTATAAATATGCGGCTGTTATACACTCACTTTATAGAGATTTTTTTGTCCGAATACTCCTTTTTTTTTTACTGAAGATTACATAATATTTCTAAGGGTCGATATTTTTGTTTGCTGATTTCGGAATTTTTGCATAATTTCTAATTACAAGATGATCGGCGCCGGCTCCGCGTGCATTAACTTGAGATGCTCGAGACTTAGCCACAACGTCGTGATTAGGGGTCGATTTTGTCTTACGGCCAGTCGACGTATCTCTAGAACTCTCTTTGTTACATTAGGGACGAACACCATCACCATAGTTGAAATAGAAAAAATCCGACATACCGAGCAAAACCGATTACATGTCTGAGAGCCATCCCTCCTTCAGGGGATCTTCAAACGGAGGGTGAGATTTAGTCCATTCTGCTTTAGGTGCAGTAGCAACAGAGATAATCGACTCACTATGCCTCCTTGAATTATTTATTAACATGGGATCATCCGCGCGTGCCCCACACGCGGATGTATTTGGAATTTTGAGATTTAACCACGACGTTGTGGTGGCAAGTCGATTTCGTCTTACGAGTCGTACTTTGACGGTGGCGATATTTCGAGATCGGATTTCCTTCTACTTTTTATCTCAAGAGTTTATTGAACTTTTACGTGAATTAACTTCCCTAGGGATCAAAATAAAGAGAATGTCAGTTGATAGATCTGAAGGTAATACATGTCTGTAAACTCAAATATCACGGCGACGTTTTCTTTAGTTCGTTAGGGGTGAACAAACTGATGAATTCGGCAATTGTAATAGAAAGTAATTGAATTCTATTTGCCGTATGTGTTTCAGATGAAGAGAGAACTTCCAATTTTCTCGAGAAAAATCACGCGCTTAGAAAATTCATGTATACCTCATTCCATTTTCATACTGGACGCAGTATATTGCACTTTCTGCTAGTCGAAATTTAATTTGATGCGTTCCAAATAAAAAAAAAATTCAATTTGAGAATGATTTACTTACAGTATGTACATTATGACTCCAAGTGACCAAATGTCACAACTTTTATCGTATTTCTCTGGACCTAAAACTTCAGGGGCTACATAATAAGGAGTGTAGCAGGGCGTTTGTAGAGTGTCCTTGACGTGAGTTTCTTTGGCAAATCCAAAGTCCGTCAATTTCAATATTCCTGTGTGATCTGAACGTAGAAACAGCTTTAATAAAGCGAATTAGATATATTACTACGTAGATACTTACCTGATCTGGAATAAAGAAGATTTTCAGGTTTGAGATCCCTGTGTGCGATATTCATATCATGAAGATGTTTAACTGCAATGGAAATCTCGAACATTATTTCCGCTGCTTCTCTCTCTGTAAATGCACCATCCTGTCGATCCTGTATTCGTTGAAAGAGCTCGCCTCCTTCCATACTGTAAAATTAATATAAATTGTCATTAATATTAACATTGATGACAAAAAATCTCATTCTCAGCACTGATGCATCTTCTTCACGTTAAACTAGTAACGGATATAACGCGTGGATCAACTTGGAATAATTTCAGGAACTTTCACTACAAATCTTTCAATAGAGTGCTCCCAGTAACATCGCAATAAGGGAAAGATGAGGGTGACGTACTTTGGAGTGTAACAATGGACAATGTCGACAACATTTGACGAAACAAGTTGAATTACTCTAATTTACTCCATCGACGTTTTTCATATTTTTCCAATGTAGAGATACACGTTTAAATTTGTTGAGTAAATACCTTGTCATGAAAGGTAATATAAGAAAGAAATGGAAAAGGAATCAAAGAGTATTAGCAAGGCTATTTCAAGGAAAAATTAATTATAATACCAGATTAATTTTGGACAAATGACTCCGACAGTCTATTATGGGTACAACAAGAAGGAGCAGAAATTAATTTACAAATAATCGAGGGTCTTTTAAATAATAATTACAAGTAATGCGAAATGTTGAACAAGACACTGATTTTAATAATTTGATAAACAAAATGAATTTACTTTAAAAAAGACACGAGTAACTGAAGCATTAACACCCCATGAGATTATAGTTTAATGGAAATGAAAAACAGAAAGTTAATACGTTGACGAACAACTTGTCAAAAAACAAGTGATAACGAAGACGCTTGTAAAAATAACTTAACTCAAAATCATTCATTGAACAGTCTACTCCAGACATGGGCGAAGTCGGATCTTCGGGAGCCGGAGCCATAAAACCCAATTAGACCCAAATATTCCTGTTATAGACCCGAGCGGTTGGGTTCGATGATAGGGACAGATCACTTGTAGATAATTAGAAATGAATATCTCTCAGGGAGATTCAACTTTTTAACGATTAAACGATTTATTCAATAAATATAGTCTTTGATTAATGCCGTAAATATCAGGCAATGTGAATTACAAGAAAGTGACTTAACGAATAATCGGATTACTAATTGTCTGTGTCTGACAACCTGACTAACTGACCCAGTGGCAACGAACTCACGAGCTTATATTTCATCGTGGATTCGATTGCAAAATTTCCTTTGAAAAATTCAAAGTTTTGTGCGTTGACTGACGTAACGACACCCCCACTCTGACCCAAGCATCGTAGGCTCGCCCCTCCCACTACCTGCACACTACATTAGGATTCATTTTTTTATAGTCATTAACCTAATTGAAGTTGGGAGCTAGGTGAGCCCATTGAGCACACTTTGCCTGGTCTAGTCAACCCGGTCTGAGACTTCTAAAGGAACCTCGGGAACTAATATCCCTCTGGCGTTAGGCCCCGAATTTCCCTCCCCAAACACTCCATTCGGAATACATCAGACCATTAGAAATCGAGAATTTTTGCAACACCAATTAAAAGTGCGAAAGTGGAGGAGCAAAAAACTTCTCATAATCTTTTTCCTTAATAATCGTATTTATTTATTTCGTAAATACTAAAATTAAATGTGAATTAAACGTGAACAAGCAATGTATTGACGGCAACTCATTAATTCAATTGGATTAATGATTAATTTACTAAGATATTTGCCGAGGTTATTTCCATCAATTGAAGAGCAAAGTTCATTAATTATTGTTCCGGTGAGGAACTTATTTTGGAAATATTTTTGGATCAAGGGCGAGATGCAAATGAATGAAAAATGATTCACATGGCGTTAGTAAAAAAAAACCAATTAAATTGACAAAAAAGTCACTCCGTCACAGAATAAAATCAGTGGTAATAAATCACGCGATTAATCAGGCAAAGTATATTAATTCTCAAAATAATTGGGCGGTACTGAAACATGTGCAGGACGAAAGAGCATAGGAAAATTCTGAGAACAGCGCGTAAACCTGTTGTGGACGCCACAGTTTACTATGGTTAAATTTTTTTATATTTGAAAAACTTGGTATAACCACTGTGACCTTGGTCTGAGAATTAACAACAAGTTATTCCAGGCCAGGGAACGATATTAATCTATTGGGGGAAGAATTCTGTTTAAATGATGATATTGATTATGGGAGGGCCTGAAAATAAAGAAAAGGAGAAGGGCGGAATTTCGCCTTTTCGCCAGTTTCCTTCTTCTTGGCGTGTGGCGGCGTGAGGAACTGGGGGGTGGGAGGTTTTCATCCTCTTCGTCCATCGTCAGTATCGGGCCGGCGTGAGTGCAATGGCAAGGGAAAGGGGCGGGTGGAAGGAATAGTTTGGAAGTGGGAAATCAACGGTGACAGGTTTTCCTAACCTAGTTTTACCGATACTAATCCCTTATCCTAATATCTTATCCTAATACCTTATTCTAATAACTTATCCTACGGAAAAGACCAGTGTAATTATTAGTGGGCCGGGGGGGGGGGGGGGCTATAAATAATGGCTTCGTCACACAACCTAAAGAAAAGGAGCTTGGAAAAAACCCCACAGAATATTAAGGAAGGGAAGCAGCTCTGCAGGATCACCCTCTGACGTCATGACTGACCTAGATCTGAGCATACAACTGGACACTTTTTCTTAAAGCCAGTTCGTCTGAATTATTTCTACAAATCTACCAGCCTGAACTAATTCGAGGTGGTACCCTGCCAATTCGCCTGACTTTCCGAAACTCGTCTTTGAGGAAGCAACATGTCTTCGTCACACAACATAAAGACAAGGCGCTTGGAAATAACCCCACATAATATTAAGGAAGGGAAGCAGCTCTGCAGGATCACCCTCTGACGTCATGACTGACCTTGATCTGAGCATACAACTGGACACTTTTTCTTGAAGCCAGTTCGTCTGAATTATTTCTACAAATCTACCAGCCTGAACTAATTCGAGTCGGTACCCTGCCAATTCGCCTGACTTTCCGAAACTCGTCTTTGAGGAAGCAGCTTCACGGCACCACTCTCTATCGCAACTACTGACCTCTAGCCTGAGACAACAGCTTGACTCTTCTCATTACATCAAGTCGTTTGCAATTATTCTGAATCGTACGAAACGTACAATTGAGTTTAACCCGGTTCGCCTTTTATTTGATATTTCGACCTACCTAGTAGCCCAGTGTCTGCAACGAAAAGTCACGAACGAACAATATACAAATGAGAGCGATTAAAGGGGCGCAAGCTGATAGCTGTCAATCACTAATGGTGCGTTCATACCATAATTATCGCTGCTCATCAAGTGGCGCCTCAAGTATCAGAGGTGAGAGGCCACTGGTTATTTAAGGCGAGCGAATAGTTAGCTGAACGGATCATCTGACCTGTGAATGTCTGTCTGTGTATCAATCTTTAAGAGCTCGTTAATTTCTCTCTGATAGTAATTACTTAAGTATCATTGAAAATCGATTTTCGAAAAAATACGAATATTTCCGAATCTTTCTGCCGCTTTCAATTCCAATTGGTGTCAATGGATGGAGCGCATGGAAGTCTATATTCATAGGGGAATTCATGAGATTCTATTGATCCACGTGAAAAAATTTAAAGAAAAACAAAAACAAAAAAATTCATTGAAAAATTGCGGATTCTTCTGAATTGTCATGGAAATTGCAATAATAATCAGAGTCAATAGATAGAGCTTTTACAATTCTATATTCATTAAAGAAAAAATCATGGCATTCCATTAATTCGTAGTGAACAAAAATAGAGGGAGAGAAAGAAATTAAAAAATACACATATGCACACATACATACATACATACATGCTTACATACACCATCTAAAAACGACATATTCGAACTTTTTAGGCTGCAGTGAGTTACCCTAACACAAAAAATAGGGAACTTGATCATGGCCGAACACAAAGGTTCCATCCGGAAGCCAAAATATTAAGATTCAAATCTGAAACCAAATTTGCGATGGCAGTAGTTTCGTAATATTTTCCGTGCCAATTTGTTATAGAGAATCTGAAAGTTTGACAATTAAAAAACAACTGTTTGGAGTATCAGACTGCATTGGACATAATTATTGAAAAATTTTGCATTTTCTATAAGTAACAGTTTTAATTGCAAGACATTTTTTATTTAACGAGCAAAGGTGTCAATCATATTTCTCCAAAATCGTAGCCTGGCGGTGCGGTCAACTAATGCGGGCAACGCAGCGAGAAAAATATTCAAAATGAATGAGCGACGTTTCGTGGAATTTTCGTGTTCTCGTATATCACCAGCGATATGTACCTCACTGGAGGAACTTGCTATTGCTCTACTTATTTCCTTAACCCCAGCAGAAAGCTAGAATCTTTCTAAGCACTTGTCGCGAGTTAATTCTTATTACCGTTAATTTGCTCGAAGTACCAAAAACGAAGAAGTCACTTCGTGGTAGAAAACTATTGCCATGCTCTATGGCTGGGAAATATATTCCAATTAATTCCCGTTCATTTTTTAGTGATCCTAATAAATTTCCCTTGTAATATGCCCAAATTCAGTGGGGATGAAATTGGCCAGTTAACCTGCCCTTTTCCCCTGGAATCTAAAATCGTCAAGATAAAAATCGAAGGTTCGGCGCCAGTCATTTTTTCTTCCTCCGGAAATAACACACCGAAATACCTTAATTCTCAAAACGTAAACGAAAACCCGAAAGAATACTATAAAACAACATCTCGAAAGAAAATCCCAGGAAAAGGTGGTATTACCCGCGCTGCTCAGGGGGTCGGTTATGTAGAGAGGGGTGGATCCTGGTGGAAATAAGTTTATTGGGGAAAACTCCAAAATAAATTACGCAAAATCTCTAAATTCAAGAGCAGAACCAAAATTATATTCAATAGGAAAATCATTATTACAAAGTTGAGAGAGAGACATACAAAATCAGGCGTGACGTACGTAGAGACCCAGAAATTCTAATTACTCAAAATCCTAATAATCTCGAATTTGGCCACAAGGCACAAGAATAATCTCAGGCGAATATTCGCAATTAGCACCTAACTTCCATTCCGCATAATTCAATAAATGAAACAAAGCTCGAGAAAATACCCCAAGATT